GCGTGACAATTTACCGTCATTTGATGTGTTATGTATCAAGCTGATGGAAGAGGGAGAGCGCAGAGGCAATGCAGATGGAGAGAGCGAGAATGCAAGAGCATTTATAGCTACGCAGCAGATCGTCGCGCATTCCAAAGCGAATTCAAAAAGGAATTCAAAAATCGTCGTTTGCTACAACTGCGGCGAAAAAGGGCACTACAAGGCACAGTGCAAGCGTGAGAAAATTCGCGGTGAAGGGAAAAAGCAATCGACAAAGAAAGAGATGGAAAAGCAGAGCAGCTTGTTAAATGCGTTGGACGTTGGAAAGATAGAGAACAACATGTGGTGTCTGGACAGCGGAGCAACAAGCCATATGTGTTGCGATAAGACGTTATTTTCAAAATTTATTGCGCACACTGAAATGATCGGTTTAGCTGACGCTGGTTTCCTGAAGGCCGAAGGCAGAGGAGAGGTGAAGTTACAGACAGAACTTTGTACCTTGGTGTTGTCAGATGTACTGTATGTACCGAAAATGAATGGCAACTTTATGTCCGTCAGCCGGTCAGTGCAAAAGAACAATGTTATACATTTTGGGCCACATTTTGCTAAAGTTATACAAAACGGCGAGTGTATACTGAAAGCGAATAAAGTTGGGAACCTTTATATGTTTCAAGGCAAACAAAATAGGTGTTATTCCGCAACTGAATCAGATGGTACATTGTGGCATAAGCGTTATGGCCATTTAAATTTTACCAGTCTGAAGGAAGTGATCAGCAAAGAGCTAGTGCGTGGTATTGGAAAGGTTGTTTTCCCAGACAACTTGAATTGCAAAACGTGTATGCTAAGCAAAATACATGTACAGCCATTCCCAAAGGTAAGCACTAACCGTGCCGAAGAGCTGTTGGAACTGGTTCATGCTGATGTATGCGGCCCATTCGACACGAAGTCACTTGCTGGATCCAAATACTTTCTGACCTTCATCGATGACAAGTCCAGGCGTATATTTGTTTATTTTTTGCGGAAGAAAGATGAAGTGTTCAGTAAGTTCGTCGAATTTAAAAACTTGGTTGAACGGCAAACAGATAAAAAGCTCAAATGTATTCGAACCGACAATGGAGGCGAGTTTGTCAACACAACATTCAACGGTTTCCTGAAACACCATGGTATTGCAAGGCAATTGACCGTGGCTTATACTCCGCAGCAGAACGGCGTGGCGGAAAGAGCAAACCGGACATTAACGGAGATGTCCAGATGCTTATTGGTGCAGTCGGGCCTAGGCGAGTCTTTGTGGGCCGAAGCAGTCAACACAGCAGTATACATAAGAAACAGATCACCTACCAGTGCACTGAACAACCTGACTCCAATGGAAGCGTGGACAGGTAAGAAACCCTGTGTTAGCCATCTAAAAGTTTTTGGTTCCATTGCAGTTGCACTTGCAAAGGGTCCCCGTAAAGGCAAATTCAAACCCAAAGGGCATGAGTACCGTATGGTTGGGTATTCGGTAGCAGCCAAAGGCTATCGGTTATACGACCCAGAGACGAGGACGATTGTCGAAAAAACGAGACATTCTATTTGATGAGCGTTGTGGTGGTCATACCAATGAAGATACCGTTACGGTAGATTTTCCTGCATGCGAGGTTCAAGAGCATGTCACTCACACGGATGGTGACAGAAGCATCGACGACGATGACAGTGAGCACAGTTCTGACGACAGCAGCTCCAACGCATATGAGAGTGCAGTCGAAAAAGAAGACTCTGACGAGGATACTGTGAAGATTGGGCCAGGCCGGCCTAAAATTGTTCGAAATGGTAAACCTGGTCGTCCAAGAAAGCAATACAATGTGCTTGGAGCATTGGTTGCTAGTGACGTAATGGTTCCGACATCCTATGATCAGGCCGTTGGTAGCACACATGCAGTATTCTGGCAAGAGGCGATGCAAAAGGAATATCAGGCACTACAATCAAACGAAACCTGGCAGATGGCTGATTTACCAAAAGATCAGCGAGCAGTTGGTTGCAAGTGGGTATACAGCCTGAAACGTGACTCTGATGGAAAAGTCGAACGTTTCAAGGCACGACTCGTTGCTAAAGGGTGCTCCCAGAAGTATGGCGTGAACTATGTAGAGACGTTCTCACCCGTTTGCAGATTGGAAACCGTGCGGTTTATTTTGGCGTTAGCAGCGGAATTGAAGCTGTACCTTCACCAGATAGATGTGTGTACCGCCTATTTGAATAGCGACCTGCATGAAACTGTTTATATGAAGCAGCCACAGGGATACACAGATCCCAATAATCCAAGTAAGGCTTTATTGCTTAAAAAGGCAATATATGGATTGAAGCAGTCGGGGCGCGAGTGGAACTCCAAGCTCGATTGTGTACTACAAGGCATAGATTTTGTAGCATGTGAAAATGAACCGTGTCTTTACAAAAGGAACGGAAGAGGTGACTTATCATTAATCCTTGTTTATGTTGATGATATAATTATAGCATGCCGATCAAAAGAGGACTTGGCCAACATCAAGTCAGCCATTACAACATCGTTTGAATGTGTTGACAAGGGAGAGCTGCATTTGTTCCTTGGCATGGAAGTGCAGCGCGACGGTGAGCTTGGCGAAATTTCGCTAAGCAATTCGCAATACATCAAAGACATATTGCGTGAACATGGATGCGAGACCTGTAGACCTACAGCGACCCCACTGGATGCTGGTTTCCAAGTGATATGTACCAGCGAGCATTGTCAAAAGGTTGACATTGCATCCTACCAGTCTTCAATTGGCGAGTTAATGTGGCTGGCGCTTACAACAAGGCCAGACATATTGCATTCCGTTGCCAAGTTAGCTCAACGGAATCAAGATCCGCATGCAGAGCACCTAGTGGGTGTAAAACATGTGCTTCGATACCTGGCGTCAACTGTGGACCTGAAGTTGCACTACAAAGAGTGTGGACAACCCCTTACCGGCTATGTGGATGCAGACTGGGGTGGCGACCGCATCGATCGCAAGTCGTATACTGGCTATGTATACTACTTGGCTGGAGGACCCATATCCTGGCGATCTGAAAAGCAACGCAGCGTGGCACTTAGCAGCACGGAGGCGGAGTATATGGCTCTTTCAACTGCGTGTAAGGAGGCCATATACCTACGGCGTCTTATAGTGGAGATTGGCTGCGGTGACTCGAGTACTCCAACTATTCTTCATGGCGATAATTTAAGTGCTCAACAATTAGCTAAGAATCCTGTACACCATGAAAGAACAAAGCATATTGATATTAGATATCATTTTGCAAGACAGGTTGTAAACGAAGAACAAATTGTTTTACAGTATACATCAACCAATGAAATGATAGCTGATATTTTAACGAAAAATCTCCCTAAAGCGAAGCATGTTCATTTTACAAAGCTGTTAAATTTGATTTGAAAATTTTTGTAAAACATGTTTGCATTGAGGAAGGGTGTTGAAAATCAATACAAACATAAGTACCAATGCACGCATGTTAATATAAGCAGATAATAATCTTATGTTATCTACAAGTTATCTGTCACTGTTGCATACGAATGTAAGCATAAAGAATATGTATAGCAAAAGTGTCAGTCTCCAATAAAACTCTAAAGCGAACAGACGCACGGCGGTCCGCGACTATTGTCTTTTACTTTACTCCTACTGAGCCCTTCCCTTTTCAGCGAATATATAATCTATTCAATATTATCGATCTCGATAGCAGAGAGTACTATACAAGTATATGAGAGAGTAGAAGATTGTCTTGCGATTGTCTTCTTTAATAAACAATTATACCATCAGCTTGCTACAGAACTTAATATCTCTTCTTTGTTCGATCGTCGTTTTTGTACCGATAGCGCAAACATAGTGTTGCTTTGCGTGCGATAACCCGGCTTCTATTCCACTGATTATCATGAAATTTAGACGCTATGTTGATAAAAACTGTACCCAATTAACTCAGTAAAGCAATCAATAGATTATGGGATATTTTTAAAAGTTCCTTTTTGCCTTGGGATGTACATTGTTTTCTAAAGTGTTTATTTGCATCTTGTGTTGCAGTTTTTAAATGGAATATTTAATTTTTTTTTTATTTTTAAAAATTTAAAGAAATTTAAAAATTTTCACAGACCTGAGCAATTTTTATGTTGCTTGGTTCAATTAATTCATAGCCCCAGCTAAAGTGTTGATGAGGAAGTCTAACTGCTGGCTGTGGCGATACTTTTATCTGTCCTTTAATAGGGGCTTTCAATCAGAACATTTCCGATCTCGATAGCAGATAATACTATGTGTGACAGAGTGGAAGATTGTCATAGAATTGCCGTTGTTTTGAAAGTATCAGGTCTTCTTCAATAATCAATTATACCGCGAACTCGTTTAATCCATTGAAACGTACATCGTAAAAGTGTTGTGCCGAGCTTTTAAAACAGAGCTTAATAGTCATTTTTGTATCGATAGCGCAAATACAGTGTTGCTTTGTGTGCGATAACTCGGCTTTTACCTTATCGATCGATAAAAGCTGTACCTAATTTATGCTCTGGGATCCATCTTGTTTGAATACAAGTGTTTCAGTTTTAAAATGGAATCATTCAACATTTATTTTGAAACTTTATTAATTTCGATTTCCTACTTGGTTCAGTTAATTCATAGCCCCAGCTAATGGGTTAGTGGGGAAGTATAGCTGCTGGCTGTGCTAATACTTTTGTCCGACACTTTATAGACAACCACCAACAACAGCTGCCTCCCTCTCCCATTTGGCTTAGACGAGCATGCTCGTATTTGCATTTATCTAGCTGTCCAGCTGCTGAGGCTAATCAAGTGTCATAATTAAATGTCAACAGATCCGTTGCGAAGCGCGAGACACGACGAGCAATGAGACTGACGATGCCATAATTGAAATCGAAGACCCGAGCACGAAATTTTGCAAAATGTTTGCCTGACAGTCAGATAAATCAGACAAAAACATACAAAAACACACAAAAACATAAAAAGATATACATATTAAAAAAAAAAGAAGGTGGAAGGAAAAAACGAGAAGAAGAAGCAGCAGCAGCAGATGCCGACAAAGGAAATCAAAACGAATCAAAACGAAATCGCCGTACAGATAAAGCCGTAACGTCAGGATGGTGAATGCGGTTATGGATGCCATTGCGGTAAGTCGGTCGTTCGCTCGGCCACCCAGAGCCTTCGCATTTGAAATTCATTTCAATTCATTTAATTCATTTAATTCACAATTACTCGCCATTCACAGCCGTACAGATATCATTTCTTTAACTAAACGTACGCGAACGTTTATTTCTTATTGTTGTTGCTGTTGTCTTTTATATCTAAATTGAAATTGCAGTCACTTTTTTGTCTCTTTTTTTCGTGTTATTGCCGTTTTTTTTCATTTTTTTTTTGTACCATAATAAGCCGGAGCGCTGAAAGCCCCGACGACCATATCCAATTGAAGTTTGTTTGTACTTCCCAACAAGAAACGTCTGTAGTTATAGTGTTTGCTGTTTCTTGTTGTTGTTGTTGTTGTTTTTGTTATACTGTGCTTTTTGTCTTCGGTGCCCACATTTTCAATTTGAATTTGTTTGTTGCGGCAATTGCTCAATTGCCTGCCTGCCTGCCTGCCTGACTGGCTGGCTGGGTGTGTACATATACACACACACACACATATGGTTGTCTGTCTGTCTGTCCGTCTGTATTGCATATTACACGCTAATCCATGTGTTTAACCTTTTTTCTTTGAATTTATTACTTATAGAAATAATGTGCACACTCCATTTTGGCGGCTAAAGGGGCGTATGAGTGATGTAAACCACCTTGTGGCAACAAAGCTAGAAAGATACGAGAAGAAGCGTTAATTACTCGTGGGCTCTGTGCTTTATAGATGTTAGTAACTTGTTAGATATTGTAAGATTTGTAAATAAGAATTAAACATTTAAATTTGAACAATATCGGATCTATCTTAAGTGCCACAAAAATTGATACAAGAAAAGCCGAAATGGTGGGGAGAAAAAAGCGCAAATTAATAAATTTCTAAACCAATATCGGATTTAAAAACCGATACGAGAAGAAGCGAAAAAAGTGGGGAAAAAGAGTGATTATAGAAGTTAGTAAGACGATAGATAAAGCAATCTCCTTAAGATTTTAAGAAGAAAGAGCGCAAATTAATAAAAATCGATACGAGAAGAAGCAAAAAAACTGGGAAAAAACGTAGATTATCGATGTTCTTAGTAAGACGATAGATAAAGCAACTCCTTAGCATTAGAAGCAGTAAAGAGTTCGAATTAGGATAGCCTAAAATTTAGTTTTCAATTTGAACGATCAATATCGAATGGATATTGGATATTAGCCAGTAAGGAGTTAGAAATTAAATTTAGTTTGAAATTTTTAAGCGATCAATATCGGATCTTAAGTGGCACAAAAATCAATATAAGAAGAAGCGAAAAAAAAGTAAAAAAGCATAGATTATAGATGTTCTTAGTAAGACGATAGATAAAGAAACCTCTTTAACATTTGAAGCACTAAAGAGTTCGATTTAAGAAATATTAAAAATCAGTTTTGAAGCTGAACGATCCATTTGGGATGGTGTGACGATAGGGAATGCGTCCCCTTCTAAGGGTATTAGGCAGTCAAGAGTTGGAAATTTAATTTAGTTTGAAATTTTTAAGCGATCAATATTGGATCGTAACTGCCACAAAAATCGACAAGAGAAGAAGCAAAAAGTAGTGAGCAAAAATAAATAGATAAAACAACCTTCTTAGCATTTGAGGCAGTAAATAGTTCTAATTGGGAAAGCTTAGAAGTCAGTTTTGAAGCTGAGCAATCAATATCGAAAATTAGGCAGTTAGGAGTTAGAAATTGAATTTAGTTTGAAATTTTCAAACGATCATCAGAGTATCTCAAGTGAAACAAATTGCGATCAATCAAGACAAGACAACAATCAAGCTTTTAAATATTTCTTCAATGCTTAATTATGTACGTTGAGAGATGTCAATGCTCATATAGACGGATGGGCGGACAGACAGGTGAACATTTCAAAATCAATTGCTCAAGTGATTCTGCTCTTTTGCGAGTTTCTTCTTTCCTAGTTCCTAGTTTCCTAGTTTTGAAAGTTAATTGAGGCAACTAATGGTCTCTCTGGATACTAAAATAAACTAGTTATGGTGGCCGGGTGCGCAGATAGACTGACAGGCATGGCTGTATAAATTCATCTAATAGTTCTGCCCTATTCCGACTTCTCTCTCTCTCTCTCTCTCTCTCTCTCTCTCTACCTTTCAAAAAAAAAAGACTCTGTATGATATATTTGTAGATTTTTCCAACAAACATATCAGTCTTATGATTTCTTTTACCAGTTATTCGCCTTAACTTTCCACCTGCTGCCCACCGATTGCAGCGCACTGCTTTGTTCAATACAACTGGGCAGTCAATGCAGCAGTTTCCACTTCACATCAGCAAGAAATTTGCATACAACACGTCGCGAGGTTTTTATGCCAAAATCAACAACAACAAAAAATTGAAAAACGAAACCAAAAACAGCAACAGAAACACTATGGTAATATTTATAAATACCAGAAAAAAGAAGAGGAAAACAAAAACAAATTCAAAGGCAACAAGCACAACAAAACCGAAAACAAAGCCAACAACAACACGCAGACCGAAACAGAAGTGGAGCTCAAATTAGCACAGAGCGTGGGAGCCAGTTTGCGTTGCTTAGATATGGGCGCGTGATCTGCTCTCCATCACGCAAAAAATACGATCGATGTCTTCGAGAGTTTTACGCATAATAAGTGGGCTTGCAATATCTAACGATTATGAATACGCACTGCAATTGCAATGTTTTCAGTTACGTTTGAAATGCTTATTTAAGATTTTCGACGTACATACAAATTATAATTTAGCTGTCGTTCGAGCAATCATTCACAAAGAGTGTGAATTTCATCTTATTTCTTACACAAATACGGGAGAGTTTTAAGAAGTTACAACTAATTAAAAGAACCACAATACTACACAAAAAAGCAACAACACATTCATTTTAGATATACTTCTTCTGTCCTAAAACTGTGTTTGAAGGTATGATAGCCTCTATATTGAAGATTGTCAAAGTTTAGGGACCTCAAATTGAACATACAAATTGATAAAACAATTTTATACACATATTATAGAATATTTGTCTGTGTAGCTAAAGTGTTTTATTCATGCTTGAACGTAGGATCGTCTTAAATCGAAGCTTAAGGCTGCCAAGGACTTTGCATACACATTGTAAATGTTTGCTGAAAATGTTAAGCACATGTTTATTAACCATATAGCTTTCATTTCACCGATTATTAAGGCACTTACTATAGAAGCGAATATTTGTTTATTTATTATATTTGTCAAATGTTATTTGCCTTTCGGCCAGCCATGCCCCGTCTCTGAGCCAAGTGGGGACGGATCAGTAAAGCTCCCACAACAACTTAATAAACAAAATATGTTAGATTCTTAATATTGGTTATTTTTTATATTTTTGATTCCCAATTTTGAATATACTTGTACATTTTAAAACTTTGCTGGAAATGTTACACCATATAGCTATAATTAAATCGATCACAGATCAGTCCTTAGAATACGAATGAATGGTTATCCACATGGTTTCTTTTTATGTGCATATTATAATGAAAGAAGTATGGAGTGGCCTTTTTGGCAAATCACCTTAGAAATCACGTGCCACACCCATCTCGAGTGTTGAAGCTGCCTCTGCATCTGCCACAGACGTGGCCGATGACGTTGACGTTGTCGACTGTGTTGATTTTTGGCATTAAGTGCGGACGCGAGTGGCACTCGGCATTGGTAGGGGGGAGCCGAGTTGGGGGCCGACATGGACATGGACATGGGACATGAGACATGGAGTTACAAGCGACGGGCGCGCATTGCATATGCAAAGACAAAACCCGTTATTATTGCGTTAGCCGCCTGACAGTGGCGCAGTTTTGGTTTATTAATTGAAGGCAATTGACAGTCAAATCTGAAGACCAAGACGAGGACGCAGACGCAGACGAGGGCGGAGCAGCTGCAGCGAAGGCTTGTGCGTCCGGTACGCCGGAAGTCAACACCAGTTGCCCGTGAGTCTCATTTCGTAGCTTTGTTTGTGTAACGGAAATTCCTCGACAAGCTCACCTGCGTGCTTCGGCCCAAGAGGCCTTTCCATCAGACAGTGTGGCATGATTTGCACAAACAAAATATTGTTGCTAGTGATTCCCATGGTGCGGCTACTCGTATCTGTGTGTGTGTGTGTATCTGTGTGTGTGTGTGTAGCGCTTTTTTGTGGCATAAGTCAATGGCCATTATCCGTGACTCTCGCTCTCTCGCTCTCTCCTGTTATCTGTTCATTAACCCAGATCCAATAAATCGGCTTTGCATGTCAAGTGCGTATCTTGGATGCTAATGACTTCTATGGACGATCGAGTGCAGCAACTGCAGCAGAAAAACAAGTAAAAAAGCTAAAGTCGGGTGTCCCGACTTTGAAATACTCTGTACATATGTTTACAATAATTATAGAAAATAAAAAAAATTAAGAAAATAAAAAAAAATTCAATGATCGATTTTACCTTTCTCGGTATTCGAACTCACGTAAAGGGTGTATAATTGCACATTTACATAGCAATTGCGTCTGTGTGAGTGTATGTATGTTTATGCGCGTCTATTTGTGTCTGTGTAAGCATTTTCGCCAAACATTTTCAACCAAACAGCAACATCAGCAACAGCCGCGGGCAGCGCTTGAGCAGCGCTGCAGCAGCAAATATATTTATGGCTATAACTTCTTGGTAAATCGGTCTATCATAGTGAAACTTGGCATACGGACACATAATTACTAACTGGGGGTATTTGCATTTTGCAATTTTAGTTCGAAATTCCAAGAATTACGGGAGTTAGAGAAAATCGCATTTGCGGGGGAGAGGGGGAGGGAGGGAAATTCCAAAATATACATTTTCTGCGTATTCACACAAGGCACCTTGGACTAAAATGTGGTGTTCCTAGGTCTTATGGTCTCCGAGATATAGGCGATTATACGAATGGAAAATCGGGAAAACCCCCATAGGGGGGAAGTGGGGGGGAAAATCAAAAAAATAAAACAAACTCGTATAGAATACACACATAACGCATCTTTGTGCAAAATTTGGTGTCTCTATCTCTTATAGTCTCTGAGATCCAGGTGTTCATACGGACGGACAGACGGACAGACAGACAGACAGGGCTAGATCGACTCGTCTTGTCACGCTGATCAAGAATATATATACTTTGTGGGGTCTGCCACGCCTCCTTCTGCCTGTTACATTTTTCAGCTCCCGCAAACCTAATATACTCTTGTACATTTCATGTACAGAGTATAATTAATGAACAAGGAAACAAAAATGTACTTTGTTCACATACTAAATTACTTACTTCTGAATTATTAGTTGTTTTGCCTCTTAGAAATATAACTATATATGCTTTATCATATAGCAGGGCGATCTGATGTAAGCAATCATTTCATCATTCAATTCGATTCCAATATTTGCATAATTAACAGGATTTTCCATACAAAGACTTCTTAGGGCTAATTGTTACCATGGCAGCTATAGTACCATATAGAGGTCTGATCCAACTTCATGTTTAAAACATCATTTGTTGTAGCAACAACATTTACAGTTTCCAGTTTGTTCCGATATCTAGATATACACAAAAATTGTTTAAACAAATATCTTTATGCCTTATTTATATTTTTTATGCCTTTTTTATACCTTTTATATTTGTATACCTTTTAAATTTGTATACCTTTTATGTATTTTATACATAAATTACGCCCCTTATACCTTGTAGTATTTATTATACCTTTCCTGCATTTTATACCTATTATAACTGTTATACCATTTAAGTATTTTACATCTTTTAGACCTAATCGTTCCTATGGCAGCTAAATAGTCCTGTAGTTATTCTCGAAGCTGTGCAATATTTTTAATTAAATAAACTAACTTTTAAAAATTCAATTCGATTTGCAACATCTTTTTTCGAATATCTAATGTCGTTGCCATATCTCAAGAAAACAATTCTTCTCTTTGTTAAAAGACTTTATTTAACCGTGATCGTTTCTCATTCTGCTATAGTCCGATCTCACTCCAAGTTTGTGACATCATAGCAATAAAGCGAATTTAGTTCTTTATTTAATTTTATTGTCTAAGAACATACATTTACTTGGGAACTCTTTTTCTATCGAAATACAACGAAGGTAAGGTGTCTTAGCTACCGATCTAATATATTCCCTCACAATTTTATATTGGCTTAGTGATAGAGATATGGAAGCTTTTGCTTAGAATCGGCACCAAAAAGACGAACTCAAGGACTCGAATAAAATCCTATTTTTTTAACATTATTATTATTATTTTGAAAATCTAGTATAGTTCAATAACTTTTAAACCGAAAAAGCTGTCGTTTTCAGAATAAAAAAAATGGAAACACAGATACTGATTGTCTCGTTTCTGTCATTTGAGTTGAACATTCAGGATGGTGTTCCATTGAGCTGACATTTCAAATTTCCAGACAAATCAACAGATAGTAGTTTCACTTCGATATAGTAGCGTTAGGAACTGGAAAAGTAGCAGTTGCTAATAGACTCTAGTCCTTTGAAGAGAATCAGTTTGAAATTTAAGTTGGTTTTAGGGAACTCTTTATTAAATTTCACATATCTGCACCAAAAATACAAATCCTTTCCCACAAAATGATTTTAGTAAACGCTCTCCAGAGCTTCGTCGAGGGCATTCAAGCTATTGTCCACATAGTTGTTTCGACATTTTGGATCGTCTGGCCTTCCATGCGTTCTGGTGGCATCCGTGCTTGGCATCTTCTCTGCTATCTAAGCGAATCTGGAGAGGCACTACAGGCCGGCACTAAGGATATATGCCGCTGGATGAGTCCGATTACAGTAGCTGTGGATAACTTTTTCGGAAAAGTGGGAGTCTTGGTTGTTAATACGATCAAGATGGTATCGGAGCTATTTGTCGAATGCTCGTGTTCTGCGTTCAGCCGGCCAGTTGTCACAACAACAGTTACCATAGTGACTCTAACATTGAAAATAGCAATGGTTTTTCTAATTATCAAATTTCGCCATTACCTATACATATTTATTCTCTGCGCCATACAGCAATTGGGTGCAGAGTTTATTTCCAAAATGATCAGTGTATACGATTGGATCGATAGAAAACTGTTGAGACTCGTGTTGAAGCGGACTCTACCCAAATATAAGGTCATTCAGAATATAATGCCGAATACGGTTTCGACTGCATGTGTGGTGTGCTTGCAGGGCAACCGATGCATTGTTATATTGCCCTGCCGCCATTTTTGCATTTGCAAGGGGTGCGCCGACGAACTCTACATTGTCCGCCATGAATATCGCTGTCCGATCTGTCGTCGTGCTATCGGCTCTCTACTTCAGGTTTTCACCTAATAATGAAGCATTAATTTCCGTTCGGATGCTTCAAAATAAACATGACTATATTATTATCACAGTTTTTTTTTTTTTTACTTTCGAAGGGATATAGAAGTTAAAAGCTTTCAAATTGGGTAGCTAATTTGGAAAAATTCGGCTCCGAAGTGGGAGAAAACTGAATTTGCATAAATGAACAGCTTATCAACTAAATGAACCGTTTTCTACACTCGTCTATAAAGCAAACAATTAAGGGTTTGGAGAGAAATTCCAAGACGGGGTCGTTGTTAACTTTGGCTCCAAATTGGGGGAAAATTGAGCAACGGAATAAGTTTCTTTTGTAAATGAGTCTTTCTTTCTTTATAACATGATATTATCCAAGAAAAATATTCAAATTCTTATTAATTTTTTTTTCTAATTTGGAATAGTTCAACTATAAATATTACATTTATATATTTTATTTATATTACATTTATTTTGTGTTTATAAATAAAGCTTAATTACAAAAATATACTTATGAATAATTGCCTGAATGAACCATAGCGAAAAATATATCGAATTACTTTATACTTTTAAAAAAAAATTAATAAATATTTATAGATGTAATGCTTATAGAGAAACTTTATTCCACAACAGTTTAAAAGTATTCGCGTTAAAAAACTTTGACCCTTTTCGCTGACTTGGACTTTTTTCTGGGCATCCTGAAAAACGATTTAAATTTTTTTGTCACGTTCGAATCGATTTTATTTTAGCTTTGGAAGCAGGATTACGTCTGAAGTCAGAATTTCCACTGAAAAAAGTGCTACCATAAATAAGTTAAACTAAAGAAGAAAAAAATGTGTAGTCACTGACTTGTTTTCCATTTTAAAAGTTCTGTAAAAATAAAATAAAGAAAAAGCTTTAAATGTGTACGAGAGCTACGTTCGACGACCAGGAAATGCCCATATTCGACATAGAAATAAAGTGAGGAAGGGGCCTAGAAAAGTCTCCTACACATGTTTCGATTGTTAATGATAAGCATTCGACTTTTGAAAACTAGCTCCTGACTAAAATGCTTCAAAATAGCGCTCTTTAAGTTCACATACATGCCAGTGCCGTTATAAAATCTTAAGCCCTATCTCCACACTCTTTTTTTCTCCCACAGCTGCTGAGCTCGTTGGCCAGCGACTTGGACATCATGCTAAATGACTTGCGATCTTCGCCCAGCCAAGCTACAACAGCAAACACAACAACAACGACAGCAACAACGACGCTGGCGCAGCGGCAACAACAGGAGCTGCAACCAGCGCTGTGGTCAAGCAGTAAACTGCCACGCCCACAATGTGGCATCATCAGCAACCACAACAACAACAACAACAACAACAATTGCATAGCCACACTAAGCGATGTAAAGTTGAAAACAGCCAAAACCTCAAGAAGTATAACGACAACAACGACAACTAACAACCGCCTATGGACAAAGGCAACAACAGCAGCAACGGCATTGCAACAACAACAGCAATCCACACTACAGTCCACCACTTCCAGCACTTCCCATTGCTATCAATGTCGTCGCTCGAATCTTCAACCCATGCCGGCACCAAATCCAAAGCCAACTCAGACGCCACTGCCAGCGCCTGCTCCGCGTCGCCATCTCCGGCAGTCGCTGCCACATTCCGCCGACGCCAATTCCAACGGCAGGAGCTACAGCCATCGCTACGGCAACAATGATGACGACAGCAACGACACCGACACCAGCGAGCTACTCAATATGACGTCACCGTTGAGCGCCACTGCCGCTGCGACGCGCGTCATTGGTCTCTCGCCCGATGTTAAGAAGCTGCAGAGGCTGCCACTCTGGTGTCGCAACGGCGGCAACAACAGCAACAACAATAATAACAACAACAACAGCAGCAGCAGCAGCGGTGTCGTGCGCTCAATGCTTCAGCAGCAGAATCAACAACAACAACAACAAAAACACCAGCATATACCATTCAGGCAAGCGCAACTGCGTCGCACATTTCCTCACAGGTGAGTGTCCGTCCCAACAAACCAAAATATACAATATAGTACAATATAGATACAGTGAAAACTCTCTTGGCCGGACCAAGGCCAATTTTTGTCCTCCCTAGGGGAGTGACCGCTTAAGGGGATACTTGAATACTTAATACACCAATAGAATGTTTTAGAAAAAGTGTCCGTCGAAGAGAGTGTCCGGATAAAAGAGGTATATATAAAGGGAGTTTTCACTGTATCCCCAAACATGATCATCAACAACTAAGACATCAAGAAGAACTGCTCTTCCTTATCGATGGAATCTTTCAGCTTGCCTAGCGTTCACAAAGGCGGAATTTTAAGAGACACATATACATATACATATATGTATCAAAACTCCTCAATCAACCTTTTCCCTAATTTCCCTCTTATAATCGTAATGTAATAACGGGCTAAAGTATTATCTTCGTCTGCTCTTCATTATGCCACCATACTATCTGAGTTTCATTAGAAAGCATTTTTTTGCATTTGGAATAAAGGATTACTTTAAAATCATATAGTTTCCATGAGCGCTTCCTGATATAATGATCTGGCACGGTCGATCGTCACATAAATAAGTACTATCTGAGTCCGTCAAAAAGATAGCTCTAAAACTTTGGGCTCCTCTCCAAAGTGAATGAAACAGACAAGATCAACAGTCGATTTGGATTCGTATCGTCATGCTAATCACACATACTATATATGTATATATTTTATATTTTGTGGCACACCATTCCTCAAATGTCCTTTAAAAGATATATTTATATAAGCATATATGTACATAGATAAAAACCATCATAACGATATATCCTTCCCAGAGCTTTAAAACAAAACAACCGCTTTAAGTATTTCTTTCAAGATGCATACCGAGCTTGAAATTATTCAAACGATAAGACCTATTTTCCCACTTCGTAGTCGTACTATTAAAAAAAAACCTGATTGTGCCTCCAATTGTAACATAGTTTTCTAGTGTTTCAATAAATAGTGCTGTGTATGACAAATAATATTCAATTTGAAATTGGTAGCGCCCTTTTTCCAAAACCGACCTTAAGCATTTCATTTAAAGAAGAAACCTAGATCGAAGTTATAAGAATAATTACAGCTATTTTCCATTTTACAATCCAAGGACCCATTGGGTTAAATTGAAATTATGAGAATACTATAAATAGACCTACTTCCAATTTTGGAGTTGAAAACAGCTTAATTGTTCAAGAAACTAGTGTTTTAAATTTATTCTTCTAGAGAGTAGTCTGAAATTTTTGGGTTCGCTTTGATTACAAATAAATACATATGAGCGAAGAAATTTGTATAGGCGTGGATTAGTTTTAAGCTCTGAATTGTTATACTTGTATGCCTCCATTTTAGAGGTTATTCAACAGTTAAATGGTCTGTGGGCCGGCCTCTATCTTAACCCCCTTATTGTTGTTTATTGTGTTGGAATTTTATTTATACAGTATTGAAAATTCATATATTCGCTTAACATATCTCGAATTTTTCTTTGCAATTCTCAAAAATTGTCCATTTCAAATAAAAAATAATAAAAAAAAGAGCAATTGCAAATCATTAAAAATAGTAGCTGTAGACACTTCCGGCATTATGTGGAGCAATAAATAAATATTATTGACTTCTGGGGCCTAGTCTTGGTACCTCTGTTTCGGATCGTAGATAGCTATACTCGTGTAAGTTAAAGGTATTTGTGGAGCGGGTTCTCAACTGTTTCTTTTGTTGAAATGCCAGTTTTCTTAGTCTTGCTTTTGTAATTATTGGAAGGCAAGTGGGTCCACACTTTGGCACTGCGTCGTGTCTCCTAAGCAAGTCTTTAATTGGGAATACTTGGAACTTAACTGCCCGTTTCCGTTCTGGCCGACAACAACCTTTGTCTACAAGTCAGGCTTGAGTTAAGCCATTGAAGTCCCTTGGCATGGACTGAGTCAGCCTTTTCAACTGCCAGATTCGCTTCGCTGAACACTTCCTGCGAAAAGCGATTGAAATATTTCCTACACATCTACATACTATATACTTGTACATATATATACGAGTTCGAGTATGTCATGTGGAGGGTCAAGACTTCTGGCCAGACTTTACTTCAACCTTAAAGCAGACAATTTTTTTGCGCGTTAGAGCATGACCTTAACCTCGACTGTTTGACCTTAGTTTAAGTTATAAATATAACAGCATAATTAATAAAAAAGAAAAGTATTCCCAAGCAGCACTTGGATTCATGGAATCAATTTAAAAACTAAACACTTGCTCAAAGATTTGGACTGCCTTGCAAATTAAACAGTTGCGAAAGCGAAAGACTTTAGGTTCCTCTGTTTCCATGTAAATGCTATTTTTAACTGCATTTTGAAAACTATTCAAGAAGAGGAAAACATTTATATTTTCCTCTATACTGTGAGAAGTTTCCAATACCTGCTAAATATTTTTTTTCAAAGCATAATTACTTTTTGTCATTTATTAAAGTGGTTTTGCTGCGTAAAATAATTCTTGGATTAAATAAGTTAATATTTTTATTTATATATTTGTATACCCTGTAGGGTAATATGGGTATATTAGGTTTGTGCAAAGTATGTAACATGCAGAAGGAATCATCTCCGATTGTTGCTTTATTTGCGAAAAAAAGTACGAAAAATTTCCCAATGCTAGCTTAACTTTTAGAACAATATCCATTCATCTGAGATATGAATAGGTATATATATTCAAGGAAAAGATGTCGAAGAAAACATTAATTATAATGGAAAAATTTTAAAGCAGACCCATTGACGTAACTGGTATTTGAAGAAAATCGAAAGTTGATAAAGAAAAAAAAAATAAAGTTGAACCAATGTTGCTGAGAGCTCTATTACAAAGCCCATTGTTGCTTTAGCACTTCGAAAGGAAATTGAAATTTAAAAAACATAAATAATAAATATTGGAAGAATTTAATACTTCAAACGAAAATAAAATACAGTATTAAAGGCCATTGGAGCAATTACATATACTATAACCCAAGGCAAAAAAAAGTTCATTATTCAAAAAGAAAAATAAAATAAGAAAAATAATTCAAAAATAAATTTAACTAAAAAGAAATAAAATAGGAGATGTGGACCGTACGACTTGGACAAGTGAAATGATCTCGGGCGCCCTATTTATACATTTTTGGCAATGACGGCAGCTGGTTATCGGCAGTAATCGAAGTAACAGTGTGCAGTGCTCTGTAGGTCTTGTATCGATAATAAAATAGCTTTTAACGAGTGATGGGGCAACACTGTTGCTTACTGCACTTATTAGATGACTGAACAAAGCGCTCAAGACTTTATAAATATATTTATATATTTGCTCAGCTAAGTGGCATCATTTCTTCAATGTTTATCGATATTTCTATTAAGAAATTGCATTAAGAAATATTAGTTTCCACTGCCGACCAACCGCACATTTCTAGGAGCTCATTTTCAACTTAAGCCCAAAAGGACATTGCAACAAAAACTTTGCATGCATTTCGACAGAAACTAAATATAGAAGAGCTGGTTGATGAATATTGAAAAATGGTATGCAACAAGTTTAGGCAAGCAACACATAATGGGTATATTTTTGTATACCCTGTAAGCGTCACATCAGTTTCTGCGATGGGTTAGCGCCGATCCCATTTGTGCATTTGGTTTGACTTTCTGATCAAATCTAATCTCCACACTACCTACCTACTTGTGAATGTGTCTTTTAAAAATGAGCAACGAATTTTTATCATGTGCTGCAAGGCCGTAAGCGATCAGCTGTTATAAGATGACTTTTCTTAATAATAATGCCATCAGCACTTCTGCGATTTCACTACAAAAAGTATTATAGTGGTTGTTGTTTTAATACCCTGGACGCGTAGGGTAAAAAGGGTATATTAGGTTTGTGCAAAGTATGTAACATGCAGAAGGAAGCATCTCCGACCCCATATATATATATATATATATATCCTTGTCGTCCCTGTAGCGGCTAGTATGGCGGTTAATTGTTCTGTCAAATGCTGGTTCTGGTTGCATTTACAGTTATTGTTGGGATAAAAAGTTTGTTCTGGATCTAGTTGCTCGGTAACAAGTCTTATTTCCGTATATATTCACTATTTTGCCTTCGATGTAAAAAATTAGTTCGTCTCGTGCCAAAGTTGCTTTTAAATCATAATAAATATAAATCGGCAGAGAAATTACAAAACTGTGCCACTTTAAAAGAAACTCAAGTATTTCGATATATATATACAAGTATATATGCACTTATAAATGCACAAAGAAAGCAGTTTTTATTTAACTTTATTTAAGAAAGATAAATATTGTATTGGCTGTGACTCACCTGGCATGTGCGAAGCGATTTATATTGTAAGAAACTTGTTGTGTTTGTGTGTGTGTGTGTGTGGATATATTTACATACATATGGGTATAAGCTTGAGCTTTGATGCTCTGCTGCTGGCCATCAGAGCCATCTAGTAAACGAGCACTATATATGGGCCTTCTCACATTTTCGCTGGCAATCCAGCAACCGAACTTGAGGCTCTCTGGGTTACCCAACTCAGTGGTGCGGGCAACTGTTTTTGACAGCCGCATTCTTTTGGGCAGAAAGCCAACAACTGAGCTTTACCCCCTTCGGAAGATAAACTGGCGAACATATAGTATATTGTAATCCATATAAGCGCAATATGTTTAACATATAAATTATGAGGCCAGTCAACGCAGTTGCCACTGGAAACTACCAAAAGCCAGCCAGCTAGTCAGCAAGACAGAGA